AATCTCTGTTAGCAAAGATCACAGAAGCAAGTGCTCACAGGGTTTTTTTTTTTTTTTTTTTTTTTTTTCCCATGGACGCTTCAGTCCTAGTTGTTATTTTAGTATATTGAACAACGGCTTGTCATAAAGTCTTACCATTTCGTTTTTCGTCTTCTTGAAGAAGTAAGTCCATCTTTGTCCAGTGGTCAGTAAATCTCTTGATTATTGAAAAAGCGTTGATAGGATTATTCACATAATCAGGACCCTGAGCTTTCGCTAGACTCGTCTCATTCTCAACTAACTTCACAAATCCTTTAACTTGCTCGAAACCTTCTTGTCGGCTGTTAACATAAGCCTTGAGTTTTTGTCCTAAGTCGTGTTCTAAGTCGACCAGACTTTCAAGATGGGCAATAGAGTCGAAGACAWATCCGTTTGCAATGAAAAAGGAAAACAAGAGGTTGAAGAAGAGAAATAAGGCCGACAGTTCGCCGAACCGTGGTTCTGCGTTCATGTCGACCCTTATTACTCGAGGCAATAACAGTAAGAAAATCTGAGGCCACAGTCCTAATTGTCTTGAATAATATGTATATATTTTGTATAGAAAACACATGCTTGTAATTAATAATTTACACACTATTCACAGATATATATGTTACAAAGGAATTTACTAAATTGGAATTTGAAAAGTTTTAAATGTTTAAAGGGGATGTTTCATTACAAAAAAAACGATATTTAAGTACTTCTTAAAGCAAGTTTTTAAGCAAAATCCTTTTTTACACCAGGGCTTGGCATTTGAAGGAAGAGAGCGCAGTGACTGGTGCATTGCGGGTAATTGAAAAGTTATGTAACAGGTAAAACCTGTTGGCATGGAAACTAGAATGGTTGTTCCTATGAACCACCTGTCGCTATCGTGAGTGGTATTTTATGAACTTTTTTTTCGTTGCAAAGGTCTCATTAAAAAACTTTTTTTTTTTAAATCTTAGGTGTATAAAATAAATCAATCAATGGCTGGATTAGTCTCCCCCACAGCCGCTTTCAGTGTCGTCACGCAACTCAGGGGAGAAAGCGTTGCGTGACGACACTGAAAGCGGCTGTGGGGGAGACTATGGCGGGATTGGCTTATCTACAGAGTCTTCCTCCACTGACTCCACATCGCCAAATGGAAGTTAAAAGTTCTAAGAATGTACCTGGACTGAATGGATTGGAGATTGGATGGACGCATAGGAGTAACAAGAATGTATTTGGAATGGGCGGGTGGATGCGCATATAAGAAAAGGAATGAGAACTTTAAATGGATTGGATCATCGTAGATGAAAGTTGGTTAGTGCACGACCTTCAGAGCTTGAGGTCCACGGTTCTATCCTTAGAATCTCCACGTCTGTTTCGACTTCTCTCTAATCCGTGTAGCTTCAGCTTTAAACACTCTTAAAACAGAGCACTGATTGAGAGAGGGGGTAAAGTGCGCACCGTCGGCTTCCATTGATAGCAGTTGAATTCCAACTGAAAGAACTACCGACGTTAGATATAGGTACTTTACTTTACCTTTTATTCTCTACTTTCGCATGTCACAAAATGCTTTGCGCCTTAGGAGCAACCAAATCAAAAAAATGAAAARATGAAACGTCCCTACGTCACGATGATGGCGTCACTGACCTCTACTACCAGACTCGGCCCTTGAACACTTTCTTTTGTTCAGTTAATTAGCACCAATTGTCTTATTATTCTCATGAGGGAATACAAATTTAAATAAGAAAGAAAATTCGCGAAGCAATATGGTATAGTGGGAGTCAAATGACGCCGTCATGCAAACGTCCTATTGAGTGTACACTATACCTGCTTTGATCTGTACAATATTGATTATCAGTTCATTGTGAGTTAATTTTGCGCGTTCAGAACATCAGAAAGCTTGTTCCATTAGAGAAAATGAATTAACTTACGAAGAAATATTTAAATTTTTTTTTGAAACTTCTTCAAGATTCCTTCTCTTTCGATCTCTTTCTGTTTCCTACTGTTTCATTATATTTTTTTATATCAATAAGGCGGCATTTTCAACATTTTCTGTATCTGAATTAGATTGGATAAGCACTCTAACATGTACTCTAATGAGAATAAGAATGGACCTAAATCATGAAGAAGACTGATGTCAAGGAACAATACTAGAGGACTAAGGCCCCGTCCACACTATGCCGGATAAATTTGAATCCGAATTTTTATTTATTCGGTAAGGCCTACCGTCCACACTAGTCCGGGCGAATCCGGAACAATTCTTCACCGAAAACGAATTTTCGAAATGGAACCGAATAAATAAAAATTCGGATTCAAATTTATCCGGCATAGAGTGGACGGGGCCTAAATCACTCGCAACACTAAAATGTGATATCTATTTTTTGCCCATTTTGTTTTCGCGATGATTTCAATTCTAATCTGACTGAGATGGATTTTAGGAAGTATGTTGCTAAATTAGTGTTTTTCAATGAGCTCCTGTTTGTACTTGAGGCTATTTTGACAAGACTCCCGCTGGCTATATATAGTGACTACGTTCATTCGAGCTATGTGGGCGAACCGATCGGAAACAGATCCGAAAAGTACCCTAAACACAACGCGACAGTAAAAAGGCGCTATTGTTTCTTTATCCCGTAATATATATATATATAGACTCCTACTTTATCATTCTGCAAATTTGTCCCGGCATTTTCTTTGGTTATAATCAAAATATCTGTATGATACGACGGAAAAGAGACTATTGGGATTTGATCGCAAGGTTGATATTGATGTAAACATTAGTTTTTTAGGAAATTAGAAGTTATCGTGATGACGTCATCCTGTAGATCCTGGGGATGTCATATTTACAGACTTTGATGTTTTTACAGTCTTTGCTCAAAAGTTTGATTAATATTCACCAATCCATAACGTTGAAGACAACTAGATTATAAACAAAGAAGAAAAAAAAGAAAAGAAAAGAAAARAAAAAARAAAAGGAGGGAGGGAGGGAAAAAAGAGAGAGAGAAAAAAAAGAAAAGATGTGTGCAAATTTTGAGTTGGTCACCTGGCAGGGGTAAAATATAAAATATAAATGTGAATAAATTAATATACATGAAAACTTATAAGGTAAGTGAATGTAAAGTGGACGAAGGAAGACAAAAAAGCTAATAAATGACTTTATTTTAAAACTGTTAAACCATACTTAAGTATGGATCAATGATGTTTTTAAGACATATATCAACTATATTATTGTATCTTAAAATGTTAAATCTTCACTAAAGTATTAAATCGAAGGTGTTTCAAACCGTGCGATTTAGAGAGAGGAAATGGAGGTTAAGAAGTCAGGAGATATAGTTCTAACTGATAAACTTCATGTAGCTGAGCTCATTGGCCTATATCTGACGCATCATTTTAGTTATATCTTTACTATAGTATCGCTTCAGTTCAAGTTTTAAACCATCACTTAAAAAAATATGAGTGGCGTTAGTATAGTTTTGTCACGGAAGATGGGTAATAAGCATTTTTTTCTAAGTTTTTTTTTTCATGAATGTTTTTTATAATATTTTCGTTTAGCGGAAAGACGCCAATAGTCAGTCTTCATTAAATTCATGACGGGATAGATTAATTAAAGTTATTACCGAACAGATGATCAATAAATTGGTTATGCAAATTATTAATGAATGAATGACTGACTGACTGAAAAGGATGGATGGAACGAAGGATGAATGAATAAATGAATGGTTGAATTAATCTGGATCAGATTATTACCAAAAATGATTATCAAACTAACGAACGAACGAACGAACGAACGAACGAACGAACGAACGAACGAACGAACGAACGAAAATATTGAATAAATAAAGGAATTAACGAAAACGCCTAGTCGTCGTCTAGTTTTTAAAACCGTTTTCTTAGGCCCCGGTCTGACCCTTATAGTTGAATTAGGACTGTTCTTCAAACAGTATTTCAAATAAATACTTGTCATATTGTCAAGTTGTTTCGTGTTATTATAAGGAATTCTATTCTTGAGATACTATTTCAGTGTGTGACTTTGCTCACGTTTTTAAAATAGCGGTAATGAATAAATATTTATTACAAAACAAAGAATGAACAATGACCCCCTGTTTAGTTAAACGACAAGAATTCCAGGTCCGGCTATCATGTTGGGAGAATTTAAAAGATGTTCTAAATATACTGAATAAAATAAAAATAGATTGGCTTTAAATTGAAAAAACTACAGATATAACTACTTTTTATACCTCTTTACTTTTTGGCTAGTAATTTGGACTTGTATTTTTGCTTTTTCAATAAAGTATAAAAATGTTTTTTACTTATATTTTTCAAATTCTCCTTACCGTACGTATGTCTCGTTGGCTGAACCTAAGTACTTCAGACAGAAAGTATTTGAGGAGAGTTCTTCAAACAGAACACAGATGATCTGCAATTATGGTGGTCGCTTCACGGACCCTGAGCTTTCTGCTGCTCTTCCTTAGCCTCGAAATCGCAAAATGCGAGTTCTTTACGGCTTTAATAGACCTAGAGCACCTGGTATACAGAGAAAAGGAGCTGAAAAGCTCTTTGAAGAGCTACATCGCGATGGAAGAACAACGTCTTGCCATTCTGAAGAAGTTCTCTGAAAAAGTTGAAAACATTCACAACAAGATCGATGACAAGAACATAGAGTCATTCACTGGACACCCAGTTAATTCTTATCTCATTATCAAAAGATTTTACACTGACTGGACGAAGATGGAAGAACTTATCCAAAAGGACAATAGCGAAGGTATTATGTCTTTGACAGTAGTAAACCAAACTTTTCTTTATTTTACTTCTGCTTATTCCTTCAAGTCATTCTCCTTAATCTTTCAACTGCAAATTCTACCAGTTGCTAACATAATCTTGACCCTAATTTACGAATTCTATTAATAATAGAAGGTTTCAAAGAGGCAGTACGTTTATATTGTGATGTTAAGTGATTCTTGTTATTAATATATGAGATGACCATTTCAGTTACTGCTAAAATATATAACTTWAAAAAAACATGCAATAAAATCACTCTTGAGCGAACGGATATTTAGTCTCTGAAGTTTATTTTAATACCTAGAGATTTTAAAACCTTCAAAAAATCTCAGATCAGCAAGATCTGTTTTTATAGCTTTCTTAAAAAATTTTTGCGTAAAAATGATTTCATTGATCATTTTATTTAAAAAATCAGCCGATCGTATCAGATTTCTTCAATTTTGACACGTCAGCTTAGTTTCTAGAAATGTTTTAATATTTTAAGAAATTTAATATCTCTAGAATATTTAAGATTAATCTAAGAATATTACATTTTTGGCAAGCGTTTCGTGAACAGGAAATTTTTCATGTTTGAATTTCATGAATGAATGAACAAATACAAGCTTCAAATCTTCAAACATTCGTATATTATCCCACGTTTATATACGATGATAATGTTGATAACTTGATGTTTCTATCTTAAGACCCTTTTTAAATGTATTTTTGAAGATAAATTTAAAAAAAGAATAGATTGTTTTCAATTTTTTTTATTTTGTATAATCTTATGTTGTATCTACGATCCCCTGAGTCAATGTTATGCTTTTAAGCAAACAGGTGTTTTTGAATGTCATTTAAGCCGTCATTTACGTCCCATTATCTACATGTTTTCCGCCAGTTTGAACATTGCTAAGCCAGAAACGYATTGCCATGACAATATTTAGACAGATTTAACTTTGGCTTGATTTTTTTTTTCATTCCAGCTAACAGGCCAATCATTCTCTTGAGAAAAAAATATTTTTTGTTTGAGTTGTATTCCATATTCGTGTGTCTTCTCATGAAAACATTAAGCAAAGAAATAATACTCTAGGGAATAACACATTACCTGTAATGGGAGAGCATTGCCCAAGCAAAAAGGGTGTACTGCTTTGATTTCTAAAGGAAAAAAACATTTCTTACAAGGAATATATAGTTTTTTTTTGTAAAAAATAAAGTATTAAAAAGTAAGAAATAGTAGTGGGAGGCAATATAAAAATTTTCAATTTGTTGAAAGAATATATAGGATATACTCAATATAGTTCCTTTGAGTACCAGTACCCCTTCAAATTAATTTCTTACGGAATGAATGATTACAACTAATAGATTTGGACCAATGAAAAAGTCTGGGTAATTGGAAAGTTTGAAAATCAATAAGGATTTAAGTTTTATTTTTTTCATACATAGACCATCTATCCTGGGGGTATATAAAAAAAAAGAAAGGACAGTGGAGGAAATGAAAAAAGACAAACAAATGTTGTTAGATATCAATGTTGATGGAAAGATTCAAGTGGGAAGGCTATAACAGGAATCTAGGGGAGCTCAAAATGCATCAAATTTTCGTAGAACTAAAACTATTCTTTTTCATTCAATCCAAATTCTGCCATTGAAAATGAATGGGAGGAAAAGTGGTAGCRTCAGGAATTTTATTCCTTTGGATAGAGGGAGGATTCAATATTGGTTTCTGTGTGATAATTCATGTTAATTCCACTGCCGCACCTATTTGAAAAATAATAATTTTGACAGATAATCATTTTTGGTATAAAACTCATTTATTTTTGCACCTGTTACTACTTTCAGGAGGAAATTCTCAAAAGTCATCAATTATTCATAAGATAATATAAAATTTATATCCCTGGCCTCTGATGCAGAATTATTTTTGATACATGCTGCCATAAATAAATGTTGGTCACACACTGTAGCTTTCCTTATTGTCACCAATGTTTTTGAAATAAGGGACACATCTTTGGGTACCAAATACAGTTTACATAATTCAATAGGAACAACAAGAGACCCCAAGTTTTATGAGAGAAAAAGAATAAAAAGGTTCACAATACATTCAGAAGGCCCTGAAATAAAATAGGCTAAAATTCTAAGTAAGAGTATGTAAATGTTTATCACATGTTTTGTTTCAGAAATGATGGAAACTATAGAGAAACATAAGAGTGCATATTCCTCAAAAGAAGACTTTGAGGGTGCAATAACAGCGTTACTCCGACTTCAAGACACTTACAGATTACTAACAACGTCAATGGCGGAAGGAAAGCTAAAGAATGCACAACCAATGCCGCCCATGACAGTGGACGACTGCTACCAGATTGGTCGATATGCATATCTAACCAATGATATGTTTTCTACCAAAGTGTGGATGGAGGAAGTCTTGAGGAAGATAAGAATGAATGAGCCACCAGAAGATGTTACAGTTTTCGATGTCGCTGATCATTTAGCCTATGCAGAATACCAGGTTAGATATTTATAACATCTATAATAATTACTATATAATCATTTTCAATGTATAATATACGTATGAGATACACAAACAGAAAGTAAAGATCAATGTAGAGATGGGACTGTTCCTCACACATGACACACTGATGCTCAATAAGTTGAGCCAATCAGGTGTCAGTAATATAATGGATATTGAAACTTGAGTACAAGCCTCTGGCTAGGGAGGCTTGTTTTAACAATAAAGATAAGTGTAGAATGATAGTCTTAAAAGAGCAGCTCTTTATAGCCTTTGAATAGCATAAGGCTATTATTATGCTTAAAAGGGCTCTTGGTCCTCTGAAGTGTTTCTCAAGCACGTTACTCATTAAAGCAAATTAATGTTATGTATGTATTTATGAATTATATAAAATAATATTATGGTTTTCTTTTTTTCAGAGAGGAAATTTAAGAAAGGCCCTCAACTACACTTTGGAAATGGTAAGAATTGGTAAGTAGATATTTAACAAAACATTAGTAGTAATCATAGTGCTATTTTTTATTTTGCTACAAAAAGAAAAATAAATAAATTGAAGTAATGTTTCAAATACGAGTTGCTGTATCCTATTGAGGTTTCAAAATCCTCGTGGAATTTTGAGACCCCAGTAGAATACAGTGACGATTATTTGACACGACATCTTATACTCTTTTTGTTATTTTTGTTTTTATTTCAAAGTTCTAGCACTTTGAAACTTCAAAGTCCGAGTAGTTGTCTTCTCAATTTTACTGAATTTGCGTTTTTCATTTTTGTGGCCCGTCAAGTTGGATGCGCACGCAACCTTGAGAAAACGGTCTATTGGACCTTTGGTGGTGTTGTCTGAAATGGCAAGTCTAGGTGCCAACTGTGCTCAAAACTCTGGCAATTCAAATTACTTTTACCACCGTTTGCATTACTATGTGGCTACCCTAGATTAAAACTGCGAAGTGAAGTTTGCAATAGACTGCCCTCAATCAAACACAATTCTACTTGGATGCACTCAAACTTATTTCAATTACTTTTGGGACTTCCTTTGAGATATTTGACTGGGAAAAACAGATGTCAAAAAGCCACACTCACCGATCTAAACTGTAAAATGGCGTCAACGTGTTTGATTGAGATGGGCAGTCTATTGCAAACTACATGACCAGATCTTTCTCTGGGGTGGCCACGTAGTAATGCAAAYGGTGGTAATTTAAAAAAATAAAGATTTGGTTGGGAAGTGATTTCTTTTGGAAAATATATCACCATTATTGACCATTCATGATCATAGTGGGTTCAAGACCAAATTTTTTTTTACTGAATTTCTTTTTAATTATCAGAGTAGTTGATTGAAGATTTTGAAATTTAAACATGAAGTCTTGAAAGCTACATTCAACTTTTTAGAATTACAGGTCATGCATGACGTAAACTAGCTGTAAGCAAACAATTTCTTCAGTCATTTTGCTACTGTCATTTGAATTGTAATAATCCTATTTTCTCATCATGACAGACCCTCATCACGAAAGAGCCCTAGACAATGTCGCCTTTTTTGGTGAGAAGATTAAAAAGACCAAACCAACTGGTTTACGAGGAGAGAGAGGAACAGTGCCTACTACGACTACTACTACCTCTCRTAAAGAAACATTTAAGAGGATAAAAGAAAGGGATGTCTTCCACAGAACAAAGGCTTTCCAAAACTATGAAAAGTTATGTCGTGGAGAAATAAGAAATTTAGTAAGTATCCTTAATGGTAGCATGTCTTTAAATTCTGACCAGTAACAAGGGAGATTTATGATTTATGGGTTGGAGTAACTGTGGATTTTATGGAGTTGAGAGGGGTAAGCAATTTGTTTGATCTGATTTGTTGGACGTGTGTGTTTTATGAAAGCACACAGCCACTTTCTATGGTATTTTCCTCATTTGTATCCAAATTAAGGGCTATTCTAATTTTGTCTTTCGTAAAAGAAATTAAGAACTTGCTTGCTTGCTTTATGCAGGGGTAGAGCCCTTGGTGATAGGCAGAACACTGTCATGTTCTGTCAAAACTGTCGACGTCTTCCTTATATTAGACAAGGTCATGACAAGGGAATAAGATTTCACTTTATTTTCCTTGCAGACAAAGTGGGAGGAAAGCAAAATGAAGTGCTGGTTTGTGAACAATGATCCTCTAACGATTTTGAAGCCAGCGCGCATAGAAAGAGTGTTCGTCAATCCAGAAATCTTCATCATACGAGATGTTCTCTCAGATTCAGAGATTGATCATATCAAAAAGCTTGCAACTCCAAGGGTAGGTGTTGATATCTTATTCATTTATTTTTCAAGAGCATCATAAAATAATTATTTGAAGCACAATGCATGCACTGATTAACCATTAGTGCCACAGAACAGAGGCACCTTCCTGCAAAACAAACAATAAATATTTCATTGAAGCAATTTAGAATTAAGGACCACATCTGCCTTAGTTGGGGCGATTGGTCCAATCAACATGTGACCATTGAAGAGGACCAACCTAGGGGGTGTTTGGCTAGACATTGTCCATTAACATATAGGGAAGCACAGGTGRCATGCACTGCTAAAGTGCTGCCTCTCACCACTGCGACTTGGTCAGAGGACTGTCCTAAGAGGTGTTTGGCCAGACCTTGCCCATTGACCAGACATTTTTGGCCATGCTTTGTAAAAATGGCGTATAAACATGCACAAGCTTAAACAGTGAAAAGAAGCACTCGGCTACAGTATGCTTCTTGTTTCTAAACTTGCTTCTCTCATGCTCTACAGCATAGCACAGTACAGAGGTTCTCACACACTTTATGTTGCTTATATAGTAAATGAAGGTTGAGAGATCAATGTAAGAAAGTGACTACCTTTCATTCCCAAGAGTATCATCATTTCTTTGTGTAACATACAACTTAAACAAAGAATGTTATTCTCAAGACCACGTGTCATTCCCTAGAGTATCATTTCTTTGTTTAACGGTTGACACATGAGAAGACACATGAATATGGATACAACTCAAACAAAGAATCTTATTCTCAAGACCACGTGTCATTCCCTAGAGTATCATTTCTTTGTTTAACTAGTGTGCATGAGAAGACACATGAATAACGGATACAACTCAAACAAACAATCTTATTCTCAAAATGACAATCCAAATAACACATCAGCTTAAATGGGAAGGCATTATAAGAGTCTATCCTTATAATTTATGCATGGTTTTGTATAAAAAAATGCATTAACAGGTAAATTAATATATCAAAGAAGTCTAATAGATATAGATCACTAACAAACTATTGCTTACATTACTAATTTGACTTGAAACACTACAGTTAGAGCGAGCCACAGTAACCCTTGATGATGGAACCTTAGAAACTGCTATTTATAGAGTAAGCAAAAGGTAATAATAAATTAATATTAATCTATTAATTCATTAATGCACTAAGTGATTGCACAGTCTTCAGACATTATCATAAAATAATCATTATTGATTCCTTTATTCTATTTTATAATTTTTTGGTGTTTTATTTCAATGTTAACCATTAAATTATTACTTTTTTATAGTTAATAATATGTTTAATGAAATTCATAATAATCAACTAACATTGGATACTACTAAATGTAGTATCTTCACACCTTACAAAGTGATAAAGGACCTGATTTACCTTAGTAATCAAGTTTCATGCAGTTCATAGTAGGCTTTGATTTTTCATCCAGCTTCGACGAGCCACAATCAAGGACCCCTTTTCAGGAAAATTGATGTTTGCTCCATATAGGATAAGTAAAAGGTGTTGGAATCCGTTCTCTAGCCTAGACTTTACATACACAGTCGTCATCCTATCTTTGCATCTTGTTCAAGTTAAACGAGGACAATAGAGAGAGAAGCTGGAGGAAGTGGGGTTGCCTGCCAATTTCTTGGTGTTATCCAATTTAAAATTCAACGAATACAGACATGTCACTTATATTTGTCTTAAAAATAGCCACAAAGATATTAGTTGTCAACACTATGTAAAACGTTACTTAACGTAGTAATATGGGGTAAGAAAATATACTGCTAATTAAAGAGCATGTGCAGAAAGATTTGACCCAGTCTTTTTGGGGAAATTTTTTTAGTCCATTGTCTATAGTCGTCGAATCTTAAATTGGGTAGTTAATATTCACTACATTTTCAAGAGTGAGCCCCTGACTTTTAGTCTTCTTTTCTTTTCAAATTTAAGCCTCTCCCTCACTCTTGTTCAAATAGTTTTTTTTAATTCTCTTTCATAAGATTCTTGCATTGACATAACATTCCGACAAGATGAAAATTAAGCGAACTAAAATAACAAAAGATTGTGGCTCACTAAACAAAGGAGATATTGTGGACRAGGAAAAGTTTTAAAAATTGTAGAGAATCAAAAAAATAAAAAATACAGTTAAAAATATATAATCAAAAACATTCAATTAAATCAATCTGTTCCCTAACAGCATGCATGCATGCAGCATTGCACTCTTATAGCATATAATATATAACATTTACTGTAGTATAAGTTACTACATATGATAGTACTGTACATATCATAAGCACATGTGATAGCTTACTATTCTTACCCGTATTTATCTTTAACCAGAAATATATATATATAAATAGACCTTTTTCAATTTCCAAAGTACAGTACCACTGTGTACCTTGATTGCGGAATCGGTGACTCAGGGTTAGCCTCATATCAGTGTCTAAATATAGACCTTGTTCATGGTGTGACAATGTTTTCCCATTTCAGTGTGACAAACCTCCAGAGGATTCATTTTCTTTTGTTTTTACTCTTCGAAAAATTCATGAGTATCCCAAAGGATACGAAAGGAATAACGATGATATCCCGACAAGTTTCAAAGCAATAACTGTTCATTCCCCTAGAGGTTTGTCACGGTCAATTGGGAAAACATTGTCACACCATGAATAAAATCTATTCACAAACACTTAAGAATCCACAGACCTTTATTGGCTCACATGAATATTCTGAACAAAGTTGAGGCTAAATCTGACCAACAGGAAACTCATAACTGTGGAGTATTAACCATTTGTAATTGCTTATTGATCATGACAGCTTCGACGAGCCACAATCCAGAACCCTGTCACAGGAAACCTTGAGTTTGCAAAATACCGCATCAGCAAAAGGTCTGTTGCTCCACTATATTTCAAGCCATTCACATTTCATTCTGTAACCATAGTAATGGCTGTTGATCTCCAAGGTTACCATCCTGTAGCCATGGCAGGTTTATCCAGTCTCTTGTGTTTTGCTCTCTTGCAACTGCCTATTTTGTTGCATTCCTTAGGTTACCTTGCTTACTTACAGTAGTCATGTATCCTTGGTTACTATTGTGAAGCCATGGCAACTATTCTCTACTTTTCTATGCCTTAACTTTTCTCCTGGGCTACTAACTCATTGCCTATCCTAGTTTATCAATCTGTAACTATGGCAACTTGTTACTATGGCAACCACAAGCAACACTTGTGATAATTAACCTGCTTTCCTCTCTTCTTTCTTTCATTCATCCAGGTCTCTAACCTGATAAAATAATAATAAAATAATTAACATAAGATAAACATAAGATAAAATGAAAAGATAAACTTTAAAGCAATCGCTTATAAGTGTAAACTCTAAATCTACCTGTCACTCAGCTTAATAACCATTCATTATTTATGTCTGGGGAGAGTGGGGGGGGGGGGGGCTTGTTACAACATAGGGGAGGGAGGGGTGCCATGAAATTGCAGAGAAAAAGGGGAATAATCAAAAAATATATGAGATAGAAAGAGTTCCCATGAAAAAGAATTTTTTTCTTGATAGGAGCCAGGGGGGAGTAAATTCTTTTTAAGGAATTACTTTTGATTCTTGCCAGCCCCCCTCTAGTCTGCAACGCAGTCGCTATTTTTATCTGACGACACCAATAGCAGCTGTGCAGGAAACTAGCCCCTCCCCCCAGACATACATCTCTCACATGTGACAGGTTTGTGATAAGGTGCTGGTTTGTGGTTACGAAGCAGGTAGATGATATTGCATGTTTTGATGTTTTGTTAAATTAATGATAATTATATACTTAAATTGAACTTTATATTTTAAATATATTTACAGCAGCTTATCAATAATGTATTTATTATTTCTTAATATTTATATAATATTATATTAATAATCTCGATTAGCTATAAATTTTTGTTCCATAATAACACTTATTTTATTTCATTTATAAACTTCGTCAAATGGGCAGAAAAAACTCAAAGAGCAAAGCTACGCTAAGAAATAGCTAATGCCGAATTTATAAACTTTAAAAATATCAAAGTTAATCGTCTTTTCTAAAAAAAAACGATCAAAATAAAGTTTTCTGTAAAAAAAATAACTTTTTCCAGCWGCTTTTTTAAACCAAGGATTTAATTTTTTAAGTCATCTAACACTTCAGCTAACTTTCATGAACGTGCTAATGTATACACTTATTTCAAAAAAGAAACGTTGTCAGGCGAGACTAAACAGAATTTTTTTGCTTTTTAAAATGTTTTGTGGTTAAAATACAAAAAATCACATTTCTATTAACTCAAAGGTAATGCTTTGTGCTTTCATTCTAAAAGAAAACTACATTGTTCGACTGTGAATATATTACATTTTGCAGCGTGCGACAACGTTTTTTGAAATGGTGTAAAATGTTTTATCACGCTATAAGTCATGGTTCTGACTCCCCTTAGTTACCGTTGCTATGTCCCTCAAGCTCAAAAAATTAGCTAGAATATCTCAGAATTTAAAATTCTGATCGAGAAAAATTGATTATAAATTGTTTCAATATTGTTAACTGTCCTGTGAAAATAATAGAAAATTTTCTCGTAATCCTTGTAGTACTCTTTAAAACAAATACTGTGTAGTTGTTTGTGGGACAAGATTTTGATTCCACTGGGAAAACTACTGCAGCGGTGATTGGTTGGTTCGTTGTTGTTTGAGTCGGAACCATGGATTGGCTACTTGTACTAGTACGCCACTTGATGTGTTTTCTTTTTATACCTGGGCCTCGCCCCTTATGACCAAGCTAGGGCGTCCAGAAAAGTGGGAAGGGGAAGAGAAAAAGACAGTACAAAACTTATCATATTCATTGCTGGATTTCAATCATTCCCAAGAGAGTGAAATAACTAACGACACGGCGACTTGTTGGTTGATATAACACAAGAATTCATTGACGAGTCTTTAGTTAAATACAAGCAAGATGGCGGCTATGACGTCATGTGCAAACGAAGAATTGAGGCAGTTCTTCCTCTTTTCTCTCNCCCCCCCCCCCCCCCCCAAACCTTCTTCTACACACTGAATATTTAAAATGTGGGTAATCTTGGTACTGAGATATTTCCCCTTGAATCCATATCTGTTAAAAGTAAAAACAATTCTTTTCTTTTTTCTGTCTGCGACTGTTGGTTGATTCTAGTGGTTGGATAAAAGATGATGAAGACGAACTTGTAAAAAGAATAAGTCGAAGAGTACAAGCTATAACAGGACTGAACATGACCACTGCTGAAGAACTACAGGTAATCACTCAGTCATACTGGGGGAAAACAATAGAAAACTCAGTCTTCCCTTTGGGAATAAAATAATTCATTTTATGGTGCTGCTCAACAACATGGGTTCTACCTTGGGCTCTAGAGGTCCTATTTCGCTTCCTGTTGTTTTAACGAGCGAGCGCCAAAGGTACCTGGGTTATTTCTCTTCGTGACTTCATGCTGGTTCACACTAGCGAAGCAAGCATGAACATAACGATATACGCAAGCTCAAATAATCCTTTAAGGTTGACTGGAGTATTTCTTCTATCCATATATGAAGGGTAAAGTAACTATATTTAAGGTCATTAGTTCCTTCAGCTGAGAGGCTGGTCCCCAGGGTGGTGAAGGACTATCTGCGCATGCATATGCCGTTGTATGCTTGCGCCGCTAGTGTGAAGCTTGACATACTTTTTTTCTACAGGTTGTGAATTATGGGATAGGAGGACATTATGAGCCGCACTTTGACTTCGCAAGAGTAAGTTAAAATAGATTAAAGAATTTTTTTTTTAATTCTTTGATGGCATGTTATATGTTTTATCACGGCCATGCCGGCGATATTTAGCAGTCAAACCTCGTTAGCTTCCTCTATATYAAGAATCTCTATATTAAGATCATCACTACTATAACGTAACGCTATCGTTATCATCATCACTACCCATCGCCAACATTATCACCACTACCACCATAACGTAAAGCTATCGCACGTCATCAACACTATCCAACGCCAACATTATCACCACTACCACCATAACGTAACACTATCGCATGTCATCATCATTATGATATCAACAACATGGCCATAAGAGATTTTAACCTCATTATTATGTTTAACAGGACGGCGAAGACAAGTTCACGTCACTTGGTACAGGGAATAGAATTGCTACATTCCTGGCCTACGTGAGTATTTTCTATTACTCACCCCTCTCCCCAGAGGAATTTGTCCACTGACTTTTGTGTCATTACTACCCTCAGTTGTCCAATGTACAGTCAGGCGGTGGAACAGTGTTTACAAGAGTCGGTACAGTTGTATGGCCAACCAAGGTAAGTTATGGTCTGCGTTGAAGGGAAGGATTTGCCCCGCATGTCTCTTTTTTTTTTTTGGTCTACTTCTTTTGAACCATGGGATCCCTGTGGCAAAGGAGGGAGAAAGAGTGGGAAAGGAAAGGAGAGAACCGTTCGCTTTCAATCTTCCTCGGTCAGGTCAATCGAACTATACCACAGGTATAACCAAGGACGATTTTGTTGTCAAAGCCGTTATTTCTTACTGCGCATGCTCGACGAAATAACTAGATAGTTATATTCCCGAAAATGCGCAGTACGAAATAACGGCTCGAGAACGAGATTGAACTAAGAATGACCACGTGACGACCCTAAGAACGTCTGCGTCGGAGGCTAGTTCTATCCAGGTTAATAACAGTCTTTTATTCTATTTTCTTCAAAGGGAGATGCAGCATTCTGGTACAACCTGAAAAGAAATGGCGACGGGGATGATTCTACGCGCCATGCAGCGTGCCCTGTGTTGATTGGAAGCAAGTGGGGTAAGTTACTGTTAATTTAGTCGTTTTTTTATAAAACTTATTTATAAACTGATAATATACTATCATACCCCCCCCCCTCCCCCCGTACGGGGCTCTTCCGTGAGGTTCGCTCCATACGCACCATTAATACATTAAAGACGTACAAAACATAATGCCCAACTCACATGTTGATTTTTAAGAAAGGACGAAAAACCCGAGAACTCGGAGAAAAACCCTTGTGGCAAATGAAAGAACAACACATCAAACAAACTAAAGTCACATATGCAGTTCAGTCGAGTCACAGCTGTGTGAGACAGTACCGTAACAGTGCAAGACACCCATTTGATCCCGTCTTCGAACAATATAAGATTTCTTAAACATTCCGCTTTTCTTCCCCCACCCCCACACCCCTCCTTTTTTTATCCTTGTAGGCCTATTTATTCGTGCGGAGGGACTGGGGTAGCAGAAAAATCAAAACATCCTCTCCTAAGTAAAGTATACTTCTTGTTCTTTTTTTCAGTTGCTAACAAATGGATTCACGAAGTAGGCCAAGAATTCAGAAGAAAATGCAGCCTTAATCCTAAAGAATAGACCTTTACACCTAAGAAATACACTAGATGTTCGTTCTCTGAATTAAGGGAGCCAGCATACTTATGTGTTGCTATGGCAACAATATATTGCTAACTACTCCTCATAAGTGGTGGAATATGGTTCGCCCGCGTAGAAGACGTGGCAGGAATATTGAAAGAGGCCTTACAAGGGCAAAAGTAGCCAGGCAGATAAGTAACATTGGTCCCAAGATATAGCTCATTGATAACTTTTGCTAATTTGTTAAAGGTAAATATTTTTAAAAAAATTTATAAAACACCGCCGTAACTCATCTTAAAATTTTGTAATTATCTTAAAGAATATATAACAATAATTAAGACAGATGATATTTACAAATATATATTAATTCATATTTGATTGCTGACAAATATTTTCTTGATTCTCGTTTATTTTATATTATTTTCTTGTTTGGGCGTAGGTGATTTATTTTGTTGGCGTTGTGACGTCACGAGATCACGTGCTAAATTAATAAATATGTTAATTAGTCTTCCTGTAGCTCAGAGGAAGACTTGTAACGACCTTGCAGTGCATTGTGGGGCTGTTTGGGGAGACGCGACGAGAGATGCTTGGCGAAGCTGCGAACATTCCAATGCATGACGATGTCGTTATTCGTTTTTAAAATTCTTCCTTCGAACATGGAAAGGTGAATTGAGAAAAGTTATTTCTAGGGGTCATTTCTTTACCTTGGGCGTAATGTTTTCCCATATCATACCATGTGTCATTCTCTTGAGAATAAGATTCTTTGTTCTTGAGTTGTATCCATATTCATGTGTCTTCTCATGCGCAACCGTTAAACAAAGAAATGATACTCTAGAGAATGACAGGTGGTCTGAAATGGGAAAATATTATAATGTCCAACTAAAAGAGGTCTTTTTTTAGTGTTGAGTGACAGCCATGTATAACATGGAACAGAACATAATATTTCTATTTCCATTCGAAAAAAGAAATTTTGATGATCGCCTCCTTGAGAACCAGCGTGCATTGGCACTTGTACATTCGCCTGTAGTTACCATTTTGATCTCCGACTATACTCTTCTTCCTGCGTCGGGCCTCCATCGCCAATCACTCGGGTATCGATTACTCATCGATTACTCATCTTCGGTCAGTCCACATGGACGTAAGAACTCGTTGCCATACTCGTGGATCCACTTGTTAGCGACTAGAGGGGAAAACATTGGGTTATAGTATTAATTAAAAAAAGACATTTCGAGTGATTGAAGAAGGCCCTAGTTTGGCAAATTTATATCTATCCTACCGTCGTTACTCGTGATATTTTAAACCACTGATAGCCCAATTTAGTTAAAAGCCGAAAATAAAATTGTTTTACAGCACAAACAAATGAAGAAATCAAGAAAAAAACCCAGTACATTTAGTATTTTCCGCATGATCTGGGACCGAAACTAATAACGACGCACCTTTGTTTTCCTATAATCATGAGCTTAAAGATCCATGTAAAGATCTATGCTATAATGATTTTCATATGGTAAAGAACTCCCTGTGTTTCAAACATCCGCATTGCATTTTTTGAAAACAATACTGAAAACACGCACAATACCGACTCATATAAAGATTTTGGCGCGCGCATGCGCCCTAATCCGTGTATTCGACTTACCCCATTTGTCGCCTAGCAACACAGGACACCCAGCGTGTAGTGTATCTAAATCTCCTTCACCGGATTTCTTCAGGTTATACCAAAACAATGCGTCACCCTATTGGATGGAAAAGCATCTCAGCGCCTCGAAACAACAATAGGTTGCATAGCGAACTGATTACTCTGGGGCTCTGGGGACGAGATCCCAAACTGTCCCCAAGTCCGTTCCACTGAATATTCCAGTTTCGAGTTGTCTGTTGCTTAGGGTTTTGTGCAGAATATCTGTGTTCCAGTGAAAGTGCGTGGAATTTCAAGTTGGTATCGTTGAAATTGTGCATTCTTTACTTTACCGTTGGTATTTGTGAATATTTAGACACTGATTCGAGGTTAACTCTGAGTAAATGAGAATGTAATCGAGGAACATAGTCGGTAATTTGGAACTCAAAAAAGATCCTTTCTATATTCTTATATTCTAAATTTGTAAAAACATAAATGGGCCTCTTCGGAATAGCCATTTGAGAATAAAAAATCTTTGTTTAACTGCGCTTAGCCTCATCCTGAAGCGCTTGAATGCTAGGGTATAGTGGAGAAAGATCTATTGTTCAAGCAAACGTTGTCATACCTTACTTGGCCTTGAATGGACGTTGAGTTTTATGAACACTGTTGCACCGCCAGCTTGAACGTCAGATAACTGTAATATATACAGGTAGCCCAACAGTAGAAAAATGCAGAAGAGATTAGAAAGTGAGAAGACTATAGTTTCGACCCCAGTTTTTTTAAAGAAACGCGGGCTCAGAGAGAAATAACGACAGCAAATTTCCAACCTGATACGTACATAAAACATCAACGTTGCTATCCTGTTTCCCCAGCCTAGTTCCCTGATGGGAGATATCGACATATTCTAGAGAAGAAGGAAAATAAAGTTAGCAGTGAAATAGCAAACATCTCTTTCCGTGACGTCATAGGTTACATAGACATGAACTTTAAGAGTCAAATATTTTTGAGGTCTTCAAACTTGTACTAATAAGATCGTGTCATAGAATCGTAACCATGGTAACGCGAAGATTAATGACATACCAGGGCGTGGTCCACATGGGGCTCGTATTGGCCTCCTAGCCCATAGTTATTAACCTGTGAAAACAACAAAAAGCATTTTAATATACGGGGTAATATTCTAGGTTTTTTAAAGCAAGGCCTGCTTATACCCTTCTATCCCCTCCCCCTCCGGGGTATTCTTTTACCTGTAAATGCTCGGCTGTGTTCATGTTCAGACCAGTTAAAACACCAATTCTTTGGTCGATCTTCTGCACGAGTTCGCTGTCCTGGTCTCGTAACCAGGCGCTGCCAGAGAATAAACAACCAACTATGTAATTCTAGTTGTGAAGGAATCCCCATCCCTCCCCTGGTGGAAACCTTTAGACCATGGAATGCTATTGGTAGATGCAAGAGACCTCGTCATTAGTCAAAATTAAGAATGTGTTTTAAAGAATAAGAAGGGCCGCCCCAAACACATGCACTCGGCATCGTCGAGGTGGTTTTCAATCATTCCCAAGAGAATCAAATAACCAAAGACACGGCGGCCATATTGGTTGATTATGATATAACAACAGACGCTAATCAAAATGATCAACTCTTTTGTTAAATTCAACCAATATGATGGCTGTGAAAACAAGCATTTCAGAAAGGTCTGAGGAATGTTTTCGGTATCTTGAATATTTTCTAATATTTTTTCTATTCTTATTTATTTTTACTCAACTTTTTGCTTATTCTGTAGTCCGCCAGTTCTGTGATCCCTGTTTCTAGATTGTTGACTCCAGCCCGTAGTAACTGTTACGAAGAGTGTACAATAAATACAGGGTATAAGGTACAGGGTACATGGTATTTGTGAAAGCAGTAAAAACCACAGGGAGCCCGACTTAGATAAAAGTGTCAGACGAATGTGAAATCCGCGGTACAGTTTTTTGCAAACCTTTATAGTTCCTCTATGGTGTCCTATGTTGTTCTATGTATTTCTACCATGGAATTAGTAGAACTGAGCAGAATATATATTGCACATCTACAGAAATTTCTCACCTTTGGACGGGCCAGTGATATAATTTCATCCACTTCATTATCACTTAGCACATCACGAAATATTTCAATTCGTGGATTTAAATTCAGTGTTTCCACTTTAGAAGGCCTCAAATAAGACCCCGGATGTCTGTTGTCATAGTAACAGTTCAATCTAGGATCGTTGCTAGGTAACGGAACAGTTTGGTCGGCCTTACGACAATGGTTGGCGTATTCAATCATGAACTCATCTTGGTCGTCGTCGTCGTCAGATAATCGCTCTCCTACTTTATTTTTCGCCACCAGTCCCTCCATGATTTTTACGTTCTCTTTCACTTCATCCGAGGGATCTGGTGATTAAACAAAGGAAGCCCAACGCAATATTAGCTGCGTTTGATTGACTGGAAATCATGGAGTTTGATGTGGCAAACTGACTTCCTTGATGGGTAAGCCTCATCAATCAAAGGCCAACGCAGCATCATTATTATCCAATCAGAATATTAACTTGGGATAACGCAATGAGACACTTAACCATTTGAAAAATCACGCCATACCTTACTGTCACGCACACTGTCACGTCCATTTTCATTCACCCAGCACACGATCAAATTAAAATACAAATAAGGAATAAAAGTACGAAATAGAAGTAGAATCTTACCATAACGAGACATTTCTTGATAATAACTTAAAGACTTTTTGTAGTTTGCAAACTGACAAAGAAAAGAAAGAGCCATTTATACTCTACTAGGTGACGTGATAACTGGAAGGAGCAAACGAGATCTTGAAGTGCTAAACCTTACTAAAGGTCTCAGAACAGAGCATGTGCATGTTACGTCATAGCCGCCATCTTGGTTGACGATAAAAAAGCATTCCTTATTAGCTTCTCTCGTTAGATCAACCAACATGGCAGCTGTTTAATTTCATTGTTATTCATATCTCAATACAAGGGATTTTGAGTTACATGGTTGCACACACTGTACTAGATCTATTTTACTCAAATCAAAAGGCAGCCATATTGGTGTATTAAGCAATGGAAACAGGGCCGTAACCAGAACTTTTACAGGGAGGGTGCACATCGAATAAAATCGGACCATTGATCGTTTTTTTTATTACCAACTCAGTGGCGTTACTAGGGATCTTGCAGGGAGGTGCACAGGCAATAATTTGCAGAACCAAAAAGAAAAAAAAAGGATGAGCGGACCTTAAGCTTTTAGGGGGGCGATGCACGTGCACCCTGTGCTCCCCCTGGTTACGGCCCTGGGAAACTTTCTGCACAGTTTTTGCATGTAAACAGAGTATGTTTTCCGGAGGATTGAAAATGTATTGTTTTGGTACACCAACTTGGCTGCTGTGACGTCATCTGAAAACTCTCTATAATAAAAACTTCAACACACGAAGTAACCAATTAGTAAGTTGGGTACCCTGTGGTATATCTATTATCTTACCAGGTATTCTATGAAAGCCAGGTAATTCAACACTTCGCTTCGGTTTGTACTTTCAGCCATGTCGCGCAAGGCATACTGGGTATTACCCATCATGCTGATCGTGTGTTCCAACCATGTCTTAGCCAATAGTCTGTGTCCAGTCACGTAGGCTTGGCGACCGAGCCGAAAGCTGTCCATTGTAGTAAGCCGAGTAGTTATCGATTGGGTATCGATTTGAACTGGGGGAAATGACGTAGGTATCAAACACGTTTCATTTTGGATCCTCTGGTCGATGGATTGACGAAGTTGCCTCGATTGATTATTGATTAGTCCTTTAGTACAAACAGTTTTTACCGAGCGCTTATCGATCTTCCCTTGGAGTAGATTCTGAGGGCTGATATCATAAACTTTACTGAGCCGAAGCAAGGCGTTCATTGCTCCATCAAAATCCATCTGGGAGAAGAGGTTCAATGACTCATTCTGTTCTGACAAAACATTTAGAAAATCTGGGGGAAAAGAAGAGAAAATAGATCATTTTAAGAGTCAGTAAGATACGAGAAAGTTAGACCCGTCTGCCTTTTGGGGAGAAAATTAATTGTTAGTATCAAAAGAAAACTATAGTAASGGATACTTCGAGATTTTTTCTCGTTACTCAGTTCTGTTTTGCTTCTAATTTTGGTTTTCACTTGTTTGTTTGTTTCTATTTTTTATTTTCATATATTTATTTTCCATTACTACCATTGTGTTCCCTGCTAGCAGAGTCTCTCTTCTCTTTCTCTCCCTTCTTTCAGGCGGGGAGGAAGGAGACTGTCGATGTAGAGCGTTTCCTTTGATACACAGCCGTCCACGATCGAACAAAACCAGTTTTAAAACCGGTTTTTAACCGATTACATGTAGTGCGCATCAGCAAATGTAACACACCGTGGCGCCAAACGTTGTTTGACAAGAGTGGCTGTCAAAATCATGACAGCGTTGCTAAGTTACGCCACGCATGCGCGACAGAAATAACGTCCTACATCGGCAGAGTCTATTTTTCTCTCTCAGCCAAAACAAAAGGAAAATAGGCTCTGCTAGGAGGGAAACCATTGTGATGCTCCATTATTGTCTTTACATCACACTAAATAACRTAAATTGGGCCGAATATTTTTCAAGCGTTTGAAAATACTGTTACAGTAAATAGTACCAGATTGTATTGTATTCGTCACCTAATAACAGCACCTTCAAAAAATATGATCTTAATTGAATTCTTATCTCATTTGTTTTCAATGACAATCCAGAGTTTATCGCGAAGGTCAAACGATTTCACAGTGGGACATTAAAGGTGTTCATTTTGTACTAGACCACAAGACACATTACTATAATTGCTTACTATCAATCACGTGACTTTTTGGAGTTGACTGGGGGGCAAACAAGCGGTTGACTGAGGGGCAACTAGCGGATGTTAGGTCAAAACATATCAAAATAAGCCCTCAAACTATTGTATTTATCTATTTCTACGACATGAAACCAGAAAGCGAGAGATCAAAACGACCTTCAAGATTCTACAAGCCATTAAAAACGCAGCTATTACCGGAAGTGACGTCTATTGATAGCGACCTATAGGTCTTCTGATCCTCGAAGGGATTAAATTCCAGGGCGTGGTCAGGGGCACAACGAGGGGTATATGGTCAGTGAGCTCCACTAGTAATCTACAGACGGATTAATGACCTTATATCCGCTGATGAAAACCACGCATCATCGCAATAACATCGAGGAATGATGTCTCTATGTCCGGTGAAAAGAATCAAAAATTACAGGCGAATAAAGTTGTAACACTTTAAGTTAAAATGTACTAGGTTGAAGTCGAAGCTCGTTAGTGTTTGTTTAATTTTCCTAGATTTGTGGTGCTTATGACAGAACTCTTAGCGGCAAATAGTGTCGTGCATCAATAAAACAATAAACTAATAGAGTTTCCGAATCGTAAACGCACTTCACGTCCAGTCAGCACAGGTTTACACTGTTCGCATTCTGATCGCGACTCAGTCTTGTAGGTTGAAATATTTCCTATGGCTATGCATAGAGTCTTTCAACAAAGAAAGTGGACCGTATAGAACACCTTGCAGTCTTAAAATACATCAATACATTGGCACTTAAAAGAACTGAACTGGGTTTTAATCTTTTAATCCTCCGAAAACTGACCCATCTGTTTGCCCTATGCCAGGAACTAGGCGTTCTTGTGTAAGTCAGTACAGAGGGGATCATCCATGATAATATATATCCAACTAATCTGAGATTGTCTCTTGAGATTGGGATTTCATGCAAAACTGCTACAATCTGCCATGGTTTTATATCAATACAAAATACGTGTTTTGCTGAAGATATATTTAGTTCCAGCGCATGTTATGATTCAATTATATAGGGCTTTTATTTTGCCTCATCTTGAGTATTGTAGCCCTGTGCTGGTGGGAATATCTAAGTCACTCTCAAAAAAATTAGAAG